TTTTGTGTATGTAAATTTTATGTGTTGCAATATTGGAACACTTTTACAACAGCATATTCCTGAGACTAAATCAAGTAAAAAAGTCCTATACTACTTTTCCCTCCGACAAACAGTTATCTAGAGATTATAAGCTAAACATTGAAAAAGTTACAAATTTTCTCTTGAATATCTCAAAAAGTATTAGGTAAATCAAAAAATGTTTCAGACAAAAGTTGTTCATATTAATTAGTAGAATAAAATAGTATAATAAACAATAGGGAGTTCCATTAAAAAAATTGACGGCGATCTCTATATAACCATAAAAAATTAATTTTTTTCGAAAATTTATTTTACCATTATATAGCCCTTTTAAAACCGTATAACTTTTGTCTGAAACATTTTTCCGTATCTCCTATATTTGTCGAGATATTTCACCGGTCCGGTACTTTTCCCTCACCCTGTATATTATCAGCACAGTCCATATTACCACCTTCTCTTCTAGCGACTTAATAGTATGATTTAGTTGACGGGATTGATTTCAATTAAAACATTTTTTAATCCAAATAAAGACCATGCGAAAAATTGTTTCAAGTCCACTTGATTTATAATATAAAAAAGAAACAATTAAAAACACTTCGATAAGTATTAGTAGACAGTAGTAAAATTTTATTTTTAATAACTCTACTTCTTCATTTGATAATTTTTTATATAAAAATCTTTCAGGTTTAATATTAACAATTTTAACACTTCCCCATACAGCACACAAATGTTGAATCAACATCTCAGAAACGTTCCATTACAACATTGCAATATTGCATCAATGTTACGAAATATAGATTCAACGTTGAAAAGATATTGCAAAAACATTTAATGTCCGCTGAATTGTTATGTCTTGTAAACGTTACAATTCAACATTCAGAAAAAATTCTTAAATTATATTGAGTTAACATTGGTCGCGTGTAGCAGAATATTTTTACAACTATTGGAAGTGCTGAAGTGGAATTATTCCACTAAAAAAATAATAATCCAATCTTAGCTTAGAAAATTTCTGACCGTTGCAAAAATATTATACATTATACAATAGTATACAGGGTGTCAAATTCGTTTGTGACCATTCCAAAAATTATGGTAGATTGGATCAAGCTGAGAAGCAAAGTTATATACCATTTTGCAAAATTCGTAATAATTATCGTGTAATTAAGAAAAACGTCTGAGCGAATAAGCACACGGAGGAGCGGAAGGCCGGATTCGGCAGACATGCAAAATGGTGTATTTGTTTACATGGCTCAGAATCCGATAGCGAGAGCTATTCGCGCGTCACTCTCCGTTCGCTGCTCCCCGCTCCCCGTTCAACGCCGTCCTCATCGATCGATGCATGACTCCACCTCTCACTATCGGATCCTGAGACATGTCAACAAATACACCATTTTGCATGTCTGCCGAGTCCGGCCTTCCGCTCCTCCGTGCACTTATTGGCTCAGACGTTTTTCTTAATTACGCGATAATTATTACGGATTTTGTAAAATGGTATATAACTTTTCTTCTCAGTTTGACCCAATCTACTATAATCTTTGGAATGGTCAAAAACGAATCCGACACCCTGTATATACATTTCATAATTATACATTTTTCAAGTATCTATTTGAGTGTCAAAAAATAATAATTCGTTCAAGATTGTTTTAACGTTGCAGCAATATAAAGAATTAATATACAAACATTAACCTAGATTTAACGTAGAAGAGATATTTATACTTCAACATTCAACATTGCAACATTTCGGCAACATTATTTTAACTTTCTGTGCTGTATGGGATTGTATTTCGAATTATTTAAAAAAAATAAAGATGTTATACATGCATATGGTGTTAAAAACTGCTTCATTTCGAAGAAACTACTTTTTCATAAAGAAGTTGTTCTCAGAAATATTGCATATTATCAAAATCAACATTATGCCAAGAAATGAAGAAAGGCTACTGGAGAATGATCTCTCCGCATCAGGGAAGATCTCGTTTCCACTTTGAGCCTCGTCCAAAGCAACGTATTCTCACCGATAGTGGTGATGACAGTGAGAGAGTACACGACCGCATTCAAAAAACTCCAACTTTTCTGACCGCTGTACGTATGCAAGCCGGCTTCGTGAGCCGTGTGAAGCTGTTCCTCGAACTCCATCAATTTCCTACGCGCCATGCTCTTCCAGTCGTCCTCCCTTAGACTGTGGCTGTAATTCCACAGGGTATCTAGGAAATCGCGCTTCACGCGCTTCACGCCACATTTGTAGAATGTTTCGAAAGCGCCCTCGACGAAGCGGAAGACGAAGCCGCCGAGGCCACAGTAGATCACCACGAGCAGCAACCCGGCTATGCAGCGATTACGCAGCCGCCTAATGACCGTGGTCTCACGCGGGTTCTGCCCCACGAAGACTTTGAACTCGCCGACGATATCTCTGAGAGCTCTGAAGAAGTCCAATAGAGTAATCTTCTCCACCGTTTCTCGCCTGTCCACTTTGAGCTCCTCGACTTTCGGGACGGGCTTCGGTTCGTCCTCGATCTTCTTCTCTGTGGTGTCTTCATCCTTCTTCTTCCCGCGCCAGAAGGATAACCAAGAGAACCACGATTTCTTCTTATCGGAAGGCTGCACTACATTCTGAACGACGTCCTCGTACTCGCTTTCGCTGTACGCCAGACTGAACTTCCGTCTCCTCAAGCAACTAACTTCTACCGTGTCTTCAAACGCATCCGCGGTTTCCGGGTCCAAGATGCTACGTTCCCTTAGTAGATATTCTCTCTGAGCCTTCGCGAAATCCTCGATCAGACTCTCGTTGCTCAGCGGGATGATCTGCTTCTTCATCTCGGCCGAGGACCTCTTCAATATCCTCTCCTCGGCACATCTCCGCGGGAGACTCTCGCTCCTCTTCACCGTTTTCAGATCTTCGTCCGTGTCTTCGATCTGTCTGCAAGGTCTCGTACGTGGCTTCTCGGTGTCATCTCTCGTCTGGAACTCGTCTTCCAGCTTCTGCCGACTCGATGACCTCTTCTCTCGGTTCTGTCTCTCGGCGTCTTTCTTCTGTGCTTCCGGATCACTGAGTCGACTCCTTCCGCTCGTCTTCTTCACCCGAGATCTAATCGCCTCCGGTGACTTCGTCCGCCTTCGACTGGATTCGCTCTTTTCGTCCACATCGCTGGAGTCCGTTGACCGGCTATATCTCTCCGCGCGTTCCTTCGACCTCCTTTTAAATCGCCTTTCGGCTTTGCGGATTTCGACAGATCTGCCAATCTCACCGCTTACCTCTTTCGGCGTCTCCGACGTCTCTTGAACAACACCGTCCTTGACCGCCTGAACAATCTCAGGTCTACTGACGTCTCTCTTTGTGGTACCGTCATCAGGCCTCTTCGCTACTTCGGCGGGCTGCTTCACTGGTTGCGTGCTGTTGTTACCAGCAGCTGCGGCGTCAGCCTCACGCGTCTTCGAATTATTCCCAGCCGCCGACTTGGCGGCCACCTCGGCGCGTACAGCGATCATGTCATCCACATTCGTGGAATTCCTCGCATCAGTCCTATCTTTTCTTCTGGCGGGACGCTGCTCCCGACTGTCCCCTTTCTTCTCCTTGTCCTCCAGCTCCTTCAAGGGCACCTCCTGTTTCACAGTCACTTGTGACAGTCTCTCCTTCTGTTGCTGCTCCATTTTCTCCGCTTCCTCGGCCATCCTCTCCATTCTGGCGCGCCTCTCCTCGTCCTCGTCGTCCGAGGTGTCCATGCGCGACGCGGCACCCCTCGACGAAGGATCGGGCGTCTTCTCCCGCTTCCTAGCGGCCGCCTTGCGACGTCTGTGAACCGTGTAACTGTCCTCCATCGCGCGACTCCTCACCGTCACCGCTGTTGTCGTCGTCGTTGTCGTCGTCGTTCGTCGGTCTTCGTGTAGAGAGACTCCCGCGAAAGGAACGCACTCGCGAGGCCGGCCCCAGCGAGGCCGTGACGGAAATAAAACGGAGGCTGCTCCCACCACCACCGCCACCACCGTCGGCACGACGTCGTTTGCCGCTACCAGCCGCGGCGGCGGAACCGGATGACCGGCCTTACCGCAGCGGATATCGAGCGGGAGTGCCGCGCGCAATCGAAACCGCGGCTTTGGCGTCGCGACGCCGCGCCTGCACCACCGCAACCCGTCCGGCGGCACCGCTCGGAGATTACGTTGCACCACCGGAATCGGGTGGCCCTTTGACCCGGTGACCCCGTCAGAATTAAAAATTCATCCTCAATGGGGTCGCGTGTAGATACGCCGATTAACCAAAATACTCCCCGTCATACATGTCTTTCTATGTTGGGAGGAAATGAAGAATTACCCTTGGGAAGATTTATTTTTAATGAAATTAAAGTTTTCAAATCTAAGAATTTGCTTAAAGAAGTTAAAAGTTCACTTAAGAAATTTTAGAGTAATTTTGGACACTTGAAATAATTTTTAGACAGTCAAGCCTGTTGAAATTCCCGCTAGAGGCATAGCGTTTTCTCGTAAGAAGAAAACCGGTATTATAAATTATATCGCATACTTTTTACGATTCTAAGTTTCTTTTAAATTCTTAAAGTAAGTTTTAAGTTTACCTTAAATAAAAGTTTAAAGTAAAAGTTTAAGGTTTTCTAAGGTATATTTTCCCAAGGGTAATGAAAAATAGAAAGAAAGAAGTGAAAAAATGAGGAAAGAAATTAAAGAAAAATGAAAAGTTATCAATAGTGACAAAATTTGAATAAAAAATGATAATTGCATGATATTTAAATAATATTAAACAACGTGGAAAACTCTTCCGTAAAAAAATAAATTTTAATATATCAGCGATATGTATGATTATTCAATTCGTTACAAAAGAATTTATAAGGATTCTAAATTATGGCACTTTCGTGATTGGATAGCAAGTACATGTAAATCTACATGTTGAAAATTTGTTTTCTGATTTACACGGAGTATTCGTTCCATGTCCTTTTTACACGTATATGGGGGTTGAGTACTTAATAAATTGAGTTTGTCGATACAGAACAATGCATAAGAAAAGACCCGTGTATTATAAGTACTAATAATGTTATGCTTCCCTTACACGTTCCTATCCGATTTTAGCTTCGCATAAACGGAAGGATTCTATCGCATAAAAAGTCTCTTATAAAAAATACCGCATAATCGAGGAATGAGTGTACTTGCAAATGTGACTTTAAAGTTAAATTTGTAATTTTATAATGGATGCCATACGTAGAAGAGCCTAAATTGCTGTTATGTTTCGTAGCTATTATTACGACTTATCATGCTTTTACTGACAATTGAATCTAAATGGAGCAATTAACGGAACAAAGGTGCCGAAGACAGAATTACAATGATCTGGAATTCTAGAATGAATAAACGATTATCTCGCGTAATAATGACTTAATTCAGATGAGATAATCAACTGAAATTGAGTCGACGGAGAAAGAATATTTTCAAACAAATCGATAGGCTAAAAAGGAATTTTTACTTTAATTTTCTAGTGGGTTTATATCAATAAAGAGATGAATTTCAAGATAAAATTGTCTTGCTTTATAAAATATTTACGACAGAATTAACCTCATTAATTCAATGCAATTCTTATGCGAATGTTGTTTACAAAAAGTGTAGAGATTAAGTAAGAAATGGTGTATTCAAATAATGTCCAACTCGTGACAAGCGAGTCTCTTGTAGAAAAAAATTAATTGGACAATTTATATTCAAACGGAATCCTTCGACTAAATATCGGTGGGTATTTATGCGACCGTCTTGTCAACTCGTTAGTGTTTCGAGGTCGACTGCAATTTATGGACCACAAATACGATTCGTAGAAGCGTGTTTTCATCTGCTACGTTTCACCAGAACAATCATTTTCAATGTTCCTTCAACATGCCATCGCAGCAATGCTACACGACGTCCATTAATAACTATCATGGTAATCAAGATGAAATCGTAAGTAGAAGCGGATATGATTGTTGTGATGGGAAATGCATTTGCATATTATCTGTGTATGCAGCCTGAAATATACGCATTTACAAATTGATAAAATTATTTCGCAAATGCACATGGCTGGAGATTAATTCTCATATATTATTTATAAATTTTCTCTCGTGTTTATTACACAAGAAAATATGTCATTCTTGTTTATTGAAAAAGAAGTTTGCCGTAAATAACATGATGAATAAATATACATGTGTATGGTATAAGCGTGCATGATGCAGTTCGAAAACCAATTCGAATAAGCATTTGGCACCGTTGTTTGCACGGATTTAATTAAAATTTACCGGATATAAGGCCGATGATTATCGTACAAACATTCGGATGCGATCTCAATTAACCCTTTAAAGCATACATTTTTCTATTGAACCATTTTTTGTGAAACTTTGTCTACAAGGGTTTCTGGGGTCGCTGATTACGAATCCATTATCAGATTTTTATGATTCAAATGGCGGATTCGAGGAATTAAAAACTTGAAAGAATAACATTATTCAACTGCAATTCAACTATGCTAAGAAACATTATTTAGATATCATTAGGACCCATGGAATCTAAGTACCAGTTGGAAATTTTTATAGAATATAAAAAATAACGCGCGAAATGGCGGATGCAAAATTTAAATTTGATAATTTCTTAGAATTTACTTGGCACATTCTTGGCACTACCCAGAGCTAACAATGCGGACGTGATGAGTCCCTAAATACTGTAATCAAACGAAAATGCTGAAAAACTTGAAAACTTAAAAAATTCACGTACTTTGCATCCGCCATTTTGGATCGTTATTTTTTACGTTGAAAATCTGATATCAGATTCGTAATGAGCGACCCTCAATACCTCTTTGTACAAAGTTTTCAAGAAATAATCTTAAAAAATTTAGTCAATAAATTTTTTCGAAAAAATTGTTTTTATATTTGTTTATTTATAAAATTTTTACAATAAATATTAAAGATTACTCAAATTTTTTTAGGTTTTTTATTTCTAAGATATCCATAAAGTGCAAAAAATCCGACCTAAATGCGTTAACTAGAAATTAAATGGTCGAAAAGTAAAGAAGTTGAGGTGGTATCGTACGTTATTAAAGGGTTAAGAGGTCATATACCTTTCTCGGCTTCAAAAAATTGATTTTTTATTACACATTTCGAAAGAACAACATTTCAGAAATGTAAATTCAAAAGAATTTACGTTGGAAGAAATTCGAAAAATTGAAGAAGTTATTGTACTTTGTACTACTCTCTAAAATTTTTGGAGTGAAAATACTGCCATGGAGTGAAACGTTCACCCTATTGGAGCGAATACTTACTCCAACAGAGTGAATATTAACTCCAATAGGGTGAACGTTTCACTCTATGGCAGTATTTTCACTCCAAACATTTTAGAGAGTATGCGCCGTCTGAGCGTCCGATAGACCGTTTCGGAGCAACGCACGGGTAGCAGCATCGGATACAGGGACTCTAGTTGTGTGCGTGCACCTCACAAGGATAGGGACAGCATTTATGCCGGTGCGTGTACAACTGATTCTTTCATTGTGATTCAAATAAAACTTCGTCTTTATGTAGTAGAAACACAAAAAAAGAGTGCATCGTGTATGTACAAACGCATGGGCACTCGACTCCGGAAATGCAAGGAAGATCATAAAGGCATTGGCAGAAAGAATAAATTAACTACGAAGTTAATTGACAAACTCTCCGTGTTTTATGGTCTTGCTATTCGGCGCAATTTCGACTCGGTAGAAGGAACGCAGAATGCTGTGTGGGCTACTTTTTATCATTACAGTTTGACAACGAAAAGCCGTAACATCATCTTTGTCCTGAAGGCTCGGATTCATAGTGTAAGTGGCAACGAGCAAAAGCGGACGGATCTTTGGACAGATACGAGCAAAGCTACAATACCTTACCTGACGATGTCTTAAATGCGATTCGCCCTATATATGAAGATCTTTCTATGCATATACTCAAAACACGAACAAAAGTTATAATAACTTACTTTGGAAAATAGTATAATCGAAAAATACAAACAACAGCGCTCGAATCGTCGAAATTGCGACTTTTCTCGCTGTTTGTTTGCTTAATGACGGAACCTTAGCTCTTCTAAAAGTCATGATTACGATGGGGATAACCATTGGACGATACGCGACGTAATTTGCTGTGTTGAGTGATAATCGCCGATGTCCATCCGATATCGCAATGCGCCACGGCTGAGTAAGCGTGCTTAATTCGGTCGAGCGAGAGAACGTCGCGAGAGGATTTCTCGTGCTTCGCGTCCGTCAGGAATCACGAAAACACGATGACATGCCTGTTCATGTCTCCCTACGATCATCTTACCCGGGTTCTTTCCCGTTATATAACGACAGGACTCGAAATAGTACGCGTGGGCAACCACACAACGTAGGTGTTCAAAAAGCTGCACGCATGAATGTCGGCGCTGTTCGAATCGCCAAGTTTTTCACAATTGAAACGGCAAAAGGGAGACGCACGAGGCACCTGTGCCCTTATCCGTGAATGCATTTTATTGTATTGCGAACGTCACAGCATTTCGTACAATCGCAAGCGCTGCGACGGATTTCGAGTCGAGCCGGTCCTCTTCCGGAAGAATTTATTGGATATTTATTTTTAACTTAATCTTATTTGTGCGTTATGTAGTTCATTCCAAATAATGTTCTTATGCAGGTACACGCGTGCAATCGGCGCGTGTATAAATAGTGCGTACATGTCTGAATAAACATGAAGAAACCGACATTTCTAGATAATCTGCGCCGTGAGGTCGCGTAACGCAGCACGTTATTTCGAACTTTTATCCGAGATCGTAAATTTTTAAAGGTTATATAAATATACAAAGAGACAAATATATAAAAGCAACAATTTATAACAAAACACTTAAATCCTTCGCTTTATTCCATACTTCACTTGTTATTTATTTTAAATTTATTTATTATATATTTTGCCGATATTTGCCGTGTAAAAATATTTGTTATTACCGATAAGATAACACGTTCGCGTAGATTTTTTACAAGAAAAATTCGCGTTTTCGACTTTTTACTGTGATACACGACGTGTATGACCCAGTTTCCTAAGTGCTCCATGCATTTTCTGCTCTTCCGCACGAAAATTGATACGCACGCATGGTAGATATATTGGGTGTTAAAAAAGTCTGGACACGGTTGAATATTTTTGCGTATGTAAATTTTGTGTTGGTTACAATACGCAAAAATATTCAATAATTCGAGCACTATTGCAACAGCATATTCCTGAGACCAAACTAAGTAAAAAAGTCCTGTACTACTTTTCCCTTTGACAAACAGTTATCGAAACAGTTATCGTTAGCGATTATATCGTAAGCTAAATATTGAAAAAGTTATCAATCTCATGAATATCTCATAAAGTATTGGGCAAATCAAAAAAATGTTTTAGACAAAAGTTGTTCATATTAATTAGTAGAGAAGATAGTGTGATAAACAATAGGGAGTTCCATTTAAGAAACTGAAGGTAACCTTCATACGACCTTCAAATAACTCTTCAAGGTCAAACCAATGGTACTATGTTATGTCCCTCTCGAAGCTATACAACTTTTGTCAGGAACAGTTTCTAGTAAAACTCTTCCTTATAAAAATATTCGACCGTGACCAGACTTTTTAACACCCTGTATAGCCTGCTGATATGCAATTCCGGGAAATGATTTTATCACGTCGCCGTTTTGTGCGTATCAGTGCCTATCAAAATCAGTGATATTCCGTTAGCGATTTACGATCACAAAGACACGAGCAATAGTGGAAGAGAAGCGATTAAATAAAAATAAATGAAAACAAATAAACTTTTTAATACTTATTATCTTATTTTCAGAAATAAATATTCGGGTTACGCTTAATCGCCCGATAAACATCAGATATTTTTCCAATATAATCCTGATTCCAAAAATCCTATAAAGACTTGTGTCCACGATGCTAGAACTTGGTCCAAGTTCTAATTTCGAGAAATGTGTAGCCAATTACCTTGCAGCTATTCCATAAAAGTTGCAAGTTAATTGGCAACACATTTTTCGGAACCAGAACTTGGACCAAGTTCTAGCATCGTGAACACAGGCCTTAAGTTCGGTCGAGTCGTAAATAAGAACAGCGTGACTCTACCTCGATTGTCAAAACATATTACAGTGTTAAATTCGTAGTAACTCAATGTGAGTCAAATTTTCCATACAGCACAGATGGTTGCAGTTACATTACAGAAACGTTGCAATCTTGCACATTGCAGTGCAATCTTGCAGAGACATTGCAGGGATATAAAATTGCAAACTTTCGATAGCAATATTGCAGCAATGTTTCAAAAATAATGAAAATACTATATTTTCTATTTAAAAAATTTTTCTAATTACGAGAATTTTATAATGTTATTTTCGTTGATACCAATTATGCGCGAATTATTAAGTACTTGATCAGTGCGGTGTTGCTCGCAATCTCCATCTATTGCGAAGCGACATAATCCCCTTAGGTTGCTTCGCAATAGTTTACTGTGTATTGAAAAAGGCCCGGATGCATATGTAATTAGTAAATTCTCTGCTTATGTACAACAACAAGAAATTATTCCAAAAATATTGCACTGCAACATTGCTATAATGTTGCACTGCAATCTCTCTGAGGGCGGACATTTCAACGTTGCTGCAATCCTCCAGAAACGTTGCGGCAATGTTGCGCAACGTTGCTGCAATACTGCAATCTTGCAATGTAACATTTCTGCAATCTTCCTGCAATCTTCCTGTGCTGTGTGGGGTAAAGAAAAGTGAGGTGGTTCGGAATGTCCTCACTAGAGGAACGCGCGGTATAAGATTTTCTCGAAGCAAGAAGACCGCATAGGGTGTTATAAATACGGGTAAGTTTATATATTCGTATAAGATTACTTATCTTTTCTTTGAAAGAGGCTTTCTTGTACTCTTCTTTATGAGTGCAAAGTGATGTAACCAATGAACATAGTGAACGCAATGTATTGTATAATAAAAAGCGGGGAATATTACTTCCAGTAGAAATACGATTTATTGCTATTGCATACCGTTGTACAGTTTATTACTATTTCGTATGTTTTATCGTACTTTTCATTGTTTTTCGGGTAACTTAATTTTATAGTACGGTTAACTACGCGAAAATCTATTTTCAGTTTACCATAACTATTTTCACTTTATTTCACTATCAACTATTTTCAACTATATTTCACAAATATAGTTGTGCTAATTTACGTCATAGTGATAATGACTATAAATTTGTGTTCGCTCTGCTATATTTTGCATGTTTAATAAAACGATAAAAATATGTTTGGAGCGCCGAAATTCACAATAAAATATAGCGAGATAATGGTTATTCTAATAATTTTTCCTATCAGTGTAACACTACAAATTTAACAGCGTGCTGCGCAAGGAGAAGAGCTTTCTATTAATGCGATTTTCTTCAATAACGACATTATACCCCTGTACGAGGAATAAATCCGCATCATTTGCATCTACCAGATGTGCATTCAGACCACATGCATCCTGTATACCAGAAATCCGTACAACTAATATAAACCTATATGCGAGAACTGAGTTTGAAATCAGTCGCGTCGCGCACGCGGCATATTGATATACACACAATGTATGTTCCAACGCAATACGCGTATATCTCCCACTGCGTTCATCTCTCCGCGGGCTTTCGATCTTTCGCTCGGGAAGAAAGCTATACAAGATAAATAAACTGGATCTCACCAAGCGGTCACAAATAAAAATAACCTCCGCGAGCTCTATGAGAGCGGCGCGAGTTGAGATACAAATGCTCGTAAAATATTTTGTCAGTCACATCAAAGCACGATTTGTCATAATAACGGAGCCGCTTAAGACACTCGGCTCTCCTGCACTTCGCGTGCACGGGGAATATTCCGCACGGAATCGCTCTATTTCCAGGTACATCACGCAAATAGCATCACTCCGTCGTTTTTATTTTCCCGCCTGCCTCTTTTCCCAAGGAAAATAATCATTCTCACGTGTTGAGTGTATTTTTAAAAAAGTGAAAATAAATTCTCCGTTCGATTGAAAACTAATATTGGCCCGATGCCGCACGCGAGTACAATCACTGAAAAAAAAATTTTCGCCGTTGTAACTAATCATGATTTGCTAAATATATTTTGCTGCTAGAACTATAAATTTCTAAACCACAGCAAACGGTTTGCTGTCGCGCCTAATACAATAGACACAGTAGCAAAATATGAGCTATCGCAACTAAATATTATATTAGCTGTCCATATTTTAGAACTGAAATTTAGTTGCCACATGCAGTTCTTAGCTACGGCATGTGTTTTCCGAGATACACCAGAATTTTGCGATTAATTTAAAATCCCATTTATGAACTTTAAACTAGTGGTCTTAATTATTCGAAGCTTCGCAACTTGGAACCCGTACAGCATTTTAAATTTCAGATACATAGCAGATAGATAAAATTTGAAATGTTGCAATATACACGGAAAAAACTATTCGGTTATAGCAACCAGAAATATTCAGTTGGTATAGATTCAGTTGCAGTAGCATATATCAAGTC